GATGGCTGTGCTTCCTGAGATATTGGGATCTGGCACATTCTGTACGTTAGAAAAATGAATGAAGACAGCAGCCTTTAAATGCAACGTGTTTCATCTTCAGCCAGAGGTGGGAGAGCCCTTCAGAGCGTCTCAGGGTTGTGTTGTTCTGGAAAACCAAAGCCATCTTGCAAGTCAGCATTTGGGGAATGCCTCCTCCTGTTCAGCTGAGAGCATGTGTAGGAGAGATGAGCTTAGAAAGAGACCTCGGGGCTCCTATTGACCATAGGCAAGACAGTCTTGGATCAGGGGCCTTTCAGACTTTTCTTTCACTCTTGTGCCTGCTGGAATCAAATCTGCAGAGATCAGACTGGGAGGAAAAATAGAACCAGCAGCTGTTCCCATCTCATCTCCCCTCATTCATTGCTTTGGTGTGCTCCCCATGCTTTCAGAAACTGGTTTAAGTTTAAATTGTGTCTCATCTACAGGGTTTGTCTCTGTGCTTCCCTGTGCCAAAGTCCTAGCGCTTGGCAGTGTGATAAGGACGCCCCTGTTTGTAGACTCCTTAGCCTCCATGAAGCACCAGTTACTGATGGCTGCTGACATGTAAGAGTAAATTGCAGGTGGAGAAAGGCAAATTTGCTTCACCGAGAGCATTAGCCTATCTGCCATCTTGATTAAATACAATTCCTAATGTAGATCAACTTAGAGCCTCTGTCTGGTTCTGGCACGGACCATGTATGGGTATATGCCAGCTGTCGAGGATAAACAGTTTCCTCCCCTGGAGCAGCAGGTGGGGAACAGCTTTGCCTGGTATTGTCCCTGTGTGCACTAGTCTGGGACTGTCTCAGAGCTGTAAAAGACCTGGGCCCCTCCTTCCACGTGGCAGGGCAATGTGTCAAACCCCAGGGTCAGCCCCAGTTATCTTTTTGGTTCTCCAGTGCCTGGAGTTTTCCTGCAAGAAGGTGCGGGGTACCACCATTGCTTCATTCTCCAGTGAGCTTGTTGTCTCTGATACACTGAGGCCACTGGCCAAGCTCTGCTCTCGGGCATGAGTCCTGGAGCTCAGCTATAACCTTTTGTCTTCTGTCAAGAGCAGCGCAGCAGGCTGGGGCTTGGAGGCCTGTGCCCAGCGGCTGTGCAGCGTGAATTCTGTGGGTGCATTGGATAGTGCCATCAGAGCTTATCCTGTTTCTTTTTCTTACAGGTGTGATTGCTCCTGCCTTAGCGCTAGTCAGTGGCCATGGCGGACACGATCTTCGGCAGCGGGGTGGATCAGTGGGTGTGTCCCAATGACCGGCAGCTGGCACTGAGAGCCAAGTGAGTACCTCTCTGCAGCCCTCCTGCCTCGTTCCTGGGCTGCGGGTCTGATGCAGGAGTGCAATGCAGAGCCATCCATATCCCAGAGCAGTCGAATGGCAAAGGGACTTCTCTGTAGTCAGGCTTGAGAGACCTGGGCTCCAGTCCCTGCTTCATAACTCTCTTCCCGGTGGCCTCGGGGAAGTGCTGTCCCACTCCTGAGTCCATCCCGCCAGCCCCCTCTCTGAGGTGAAGCAAGTGGCAGCAGAAGCCAGCCTTGTCAGCATCCCATCCATAATTGATGGCCTCCCCCAGCTGGCGCCCACTCTTTTGTTCAGAGCAACGTTTCATTTGATCTTTCTCGAAAGTCAAAATACTGGAGGTGCGAATGCGCGGAAGGGGAAGGGAGACAAATGACTCAGCAGCTAGATCCATACGTGTCTTTAGCTGCTCTCCTTTCGTGGCAGCCCAGGTCCTGCTGCCCCCACTCCCAGCCCAGCGCCTGCATCAGTCTGGTTCAATGCGAGACAGTCCTGCCCTCCTCCTCCTCCTCCTCCTCACCAGGCTGATGGGAGATGGACCATGAGTGTGAAAGAGGCAGAGCATGGCATCCTGCAGCCACTTCTGGGGAGCCCATGTTAAAACCTCATGCCCTGGCACTGAGCAGAGCACTGCAACGGTACCCTGAGCTGCTCTTGTCTTGACTGCTTCGGCCAGGAAACCCAAGTGTGGTTGGGAGGCATGGCAGTTGCTAGCCAGCCCGAGGGGCAGGGGGAGAGGGAACTGCCTTGCCCGTGGTCACCCAGTTAGTCCATGGCTGAGCTGGCAGTGGAGTTCCTAGGTCTACATTTCGGGCAGATTTTGGCTGTACAAACTGAGGCACCTTTATAAGGGCTTGAATTTTTTTCCAAGGCAAGATGGTTGCATTTCCTAAAACCAGGCCCCTTCAGGGTATCTCAGGTTAAGCACTCAAAGCCTGTGGGACCTCAGATGGCCAGCTGCCTTGGAAGGCTTAGACACCAATTTCCTGCCTAAGCATGGGGTCGCGCGTTGCCTCTGCCAGGCAGACAGAAGTGAGCGTGCCAGCCTGTGCTGGTAGAAGGAAGGCAAGGCCTGCCTGGAGGGCATCACGTGGCAGGGTGGGTCAGGCCCATGTTAGGGGAGCAGTTCTCAGCCCTGCTGGGAGGGCAGGTGGGGCAGGGGGAGTGCTTGGATTTGGTCAGGGCTGGTATAGATTTCTGACCTAGGAACAAGCCGGTGTGTGGCTGGGTTTGCTCAGCTCACCAGCGTGGTTAGCAGGGCATGCAGCAGGGGATTCTGCGTGTCCTTTCTGTGATGCTCCAGACCTCATAACGTGGTCTGTTTGTGCCACAGGCTCCAGACAGGCTGGTCGGTGCACACGTTCCAGACGGACAAGCAGAGGAAAATGCAGGTGCTGAACCCAAAGGAGCTGGATGTCATCCTGGAGGTCATTCACCGGGCAGAGAAGCTGGACCTCGTTGAGCAGCAGCGCATTGGGTACGTTGCTGCCTCCTGGCTTGGTTGGCCCCTTCTCTCCCTTCAGGAAGAGTCTGGTCCTGTGCTGCAGCTCCAGTCCTGTCCCTTTGTACTTGGGATGCCATGCAGGCCATCTGAGGCCCACTCCTCCTTTGCCTTCTGATTTGAGCTGGTTGAAAGGCAGGGAGGATGCCACATTCCCTAGCAGAGACATTGCTCACCCCTGTGCCAGAACCAGGTCTGAATCAAAGATCTGCTGTGATTGCAGGCACTGGTGCAGTGCCTAGTGACCGGGTCTGTGTGCAGACAGCAGTGTGGCCTGCCTGTGCTAGGGATGATGCTGGTGCGGCCGCATGAGGACTCTGGACAAGACCATGAGAGCCAGATGGAGCATCTTTGAATGGTGCTGGAGCTGCCCTGCCTTTGAACTGCCGTCAGGACTCCCGAGCTGGCTTCCCCCCGTGCTCTGCCTCGGGGGAGTTGTCTGCTGGGAGCAGCGAGTGAGTGGAGAGTTCTGGCTGGGTTCATCAGCCTGAGTTATTTAATTTTCTGGCATTGTCCTTCTCCCACATTATGCTAGCTGTTGCACAGTTTTTGTTCTGCTTTTGGCCCTGCTGAAGACAGTGCAAGGCTTGGGTCCGGTCATGCTTAGTCAGGGGAAGCAGCCACGGGAAGGCTGAGTTTGCTACAGACTGAGGGGACAGGAGACCTTAATTATTCCCAGGCTTGTGGGGGCAGGTCCAGCTTGTATAGCATTCTCCCCAGCGTGCCTGCACCTTTTCTTGGGCAAATAGATGTGGTCTGGCCTTTGATGCCACTGGTTAGTGCCACCCCACTTCCCTGTAGAATCCGGGTCATGGCAGTAACCCCACTATTCAATGCCAAAGGCATCTCCTCCAACCCTGCGTCCTGTGCTGCCCTGCAGGCGCCTGGTGGAGCGGCTGGAGAACATGAGGAAGAACGTGATGGGGAACGGGCTGTCTCAGTGCCTGCTGTGTGGCGAGCTGCTTGGGCTGCTGGGCTCCACGGCCGTCTTTTGCCAGGACTGCAAAAAGGTGAGGTTGGCAGCACTGGGCTTTCCAGCAAACACTTGGGGCTGCCTTTGACACCACACACTGGGTTCTTGTTCCCCAAGTCCTCTGTATGAGCATCAATAAATTGCTGCCGCCTCTGGGATGGAGCACATCCCTCAGGCAGGCTCCGGGCTGACACAGTGGTGCAACAGGTAGGTAGCCTCCAGGCCCGTACTGGCCCCCAGCCAAAAGATGGCATGTTTGGTTTCTTTGGCTGGCATATCCACTGCCTCTTCCGGGGATATTGCTGTGTGCCTGTTTCGAGTGCTGTTTGCAGTGGGGCTTGACTTTGCAAAGCTGTTGCTGTCATGCCGACACCCCGGTGGGAGACCACGGCTGGGCCGGACTCCAGCAGCCAAGGGGTTAAGCTGGAATGCTGCAGAGATGATGATCTCCAAGGCAACCACCTCATCTGCTAAGAGAGCGCTCTGCTGGGAGGTTGTTTTTCAAGCACTTGAAACCCATTTTTCCCCAGGGAGAAATCTCCATTTCTAAAGAGCTGCACCTCAGTTACACGCCCAGGGAAGGGCAAGCCGGGAGGGGGTGGGGGGGCTGTTGGCACAGTGCCTGGCACAGCAGCAGAGGATGGGGGCGCTGCCCCACTGACTCCCTCTCCCTCAAGCCAGAGCAAGGCCTGAGGACCAAGTAAGACACCACAGGCTGCTCTTCCCTAGGCAGAGGCAGCCCCTGGAGCCTGCAGCTCCAACCTGCTCAGGTCTGCCCAGAGCATGGCGCACTGTGCCTCTCTGCCTGTGCTGTGGTTTGTTGTGCCCCTGCACTGAGATTCTGGTCTTCTGCTTTGCTGGCTGCCAGGAGGATCACCAGCTGGCACCAGCGCTTGCTTTGGGGTGGGGAATATCTTGCCTCTCGATCCACTCTGCCGAGGAAGCCAGAGGCAGGATGGGCCGCTGCATTTGGAACAAGAGTGCCTTGTTTCGCGATGCCTGGCACAGGAGGTGCTGTGAGCCAATGGGGCCCGATAATCGTTAACAAACCCTTTACCCTGAACTCAGTAACCCTCACGGGATGGGATCCTGACACGGCACTGGGAGGGGGTCCATGAGCCCAGCAGACTTGGCCTGAGTGGAGCTATGGGGGGAGACGGGGGCAAGGCAGTGTTTGGAGCAGCACGGTGTAGCTCCTCAGGCTGTGCCTGTGCTCAGATGTGCACGGAGCACAAAGGGCTGGCGAGTGCAGGAGCCGGCTATTTGTTTCCTGTATTTTGAGCAGAGAGAATAACAGGAAGTGCTGTGCTCCCACCCTCTTCCCCTGGAGATCCTGCTTCTAGCACATCCAAGAGTAGCCAGTCTAGAAATACGGGAAAACAGGGTGTTATCTTTCTTGCCACTTTCAACAAATTGCATGTATCGAGCTGGTGGCAAAGGGTGGCATAGAGTCAGAGAGAGACAGGCCTGGAGGGGATCTGAAGGAGTCATCTAGTCTGTGCCCCGGTCAAAGGCAGGATCATCCTTGCAAATGTTTATCTAACCGGCACTTAGAAGCTCCTAGTGATGGAGATCCACGTGCTCCCTCGATGATCTGTTTCAGTACTGAGCCACCCCTGGAGCTAGAGAGTCTCCTGATAGACTGCCCCAAGGGGGACTAAGACCTGGGCTATCTCATAGTGTCTTCCCCTATGACATGAAGGTAATAGCCCCACCTACCCTCTGGGCCCCTTGTCCTGGAAGGCCCTGGCCTAGGGCCAGCATTGTGGTCCATTTGGTCCTTCCAGCCTGTACCCCATCAGCCTGGACGCAGGGGCAGAGTGGGAAAGGTGGAGGGAAAGCCCTACTTTCTAGCCTGTTTCACAGCGGCCCTTTAATGACCTAGGCTCCCTTGGTGTTGCACCTGGGAGGCACAAGCTGTTTGGGGGCTCCCCTGACTGCTGTGTCCACAGCACTTGGTGGGGTGGGGGGAGGCAGGCAGTAGAGTGGGCCATGACCCCCCAGAGCACTCTGGGAGACAGCTGGTTGCTTTAAGTTTGCTTCCTCTTCTCATGCCGTGTTCTGGGCCGTGAGCAATGCCTTGTCAGGGAATTATGGATTTTTAAAGTCCATATTTTCCTTGCCAGTGCCACTCTGTTACCATCTTATTGGAAACTCATTGCAGCCCCATTTCGTTGACCAACAGGAATCATTATAATGAGTGCAACCTAATGCTTATGAAACCGGGCACTGAGCCCGTCTCAGTCAAGTTGCTCCTACAAAATACAGAGGTTTTCCCAGCTTTTAGAGTCCTCTGTGCCTTCTGGGCACCTTCTTCTGTGTTAATATCTCATGGCAAAAAGCCAAGAGCAGTTTTATTATTAGAGATTTTGTTATTTTGGAAATAAATACAAACTGGCGAAG